GCTATGAATAATGGTAGTAATAAATATTAATAGATATAGAATAGTATATAATATAAATATTATATAAAATAATAGTGCGAAGGATTAAGAAGTACTATAATATTTCCTTTGTAATATATCGTAATATATGTACGAGACAAAAAACAATCTTACCTGATAATGAATTTAAATCATTGTATTCGGATACAATCATAAAATATACTTTACATTTTTATTTATTGCCATATTGGTCGGTCGCTTGGACAACAATGATTAATATGACCAATCAAAATTGCCGTAAGGTAGAGAAAAGAAACATGGCGTACGAGTCGCTTCTAATGGCGTGGCCAATCAGTATTAGCAACAATTAAAAAAAAGAATCATACCCCTGCGAACCGGAACTAGCGAGGCTGCAAGAAATGAATACTTCCATCTTTTCCTCGTGTTCTCGAATAACCCCATGTTGGTGTAGGTACAGGTGACTTAGAGTTCTATGGTGGTTTGGACATGGAAAATAATTTTTGAAAAATATAATAATCAAAATCAGACTATTTCTAATTCTTTATATTTTTGATTTCTACTCCTTTACTACTTGTTATTTATATTCCATTGTTAATATTTAATATGAAAACTATATCATCCAAAATATACATATGAAATAGTCAAGAATAATTTAAACAACTCCTTTAAATTAATAACATTCTTCTCATTCCATAAATTGAAATTATTATTGGAATTCATGTTTGTAAGATAAAGAAGAATGATAAAATGTACTTATCTATTTTTCACATTTGGTAATTATATTAAAGTTACTTTTTAAATAGTTAACGTGTGTAAAAAACTGTACAATTTTAAAACAGTATAATACATTTGCTGTCAAGAGAAAAACTAGTCAACAGTATTAAAAAAAATAGGAAGATATAGTACTAAATAATTCTGAAACGTTCAAATAAAAATCATTCAATGATTCTGATATTGATATAGGAGAGAGAGAGTTTGAAGGCAGAAAAGTAGAAATTTAATTATAAAAAATATCTGTTTTCATTTTTAAAATAATTTGGCACACCATATAGTTTAAACTATACCTCTATCTTATAGATGAAAGATTTAAATAACTATACCATCAAAGATTGTATATGTATATATATATACTGCTGTATAGAAATCAATCTCATCTTTTAAAATTGAACTTTGTTCGTTCGAATCAGATGGAAACGTTCATAAACTATTTTTTTAATTATTTTTATATCAGATAAATTTTGTTGAGATAGTAATAATTAATATGTGGGAATAAGACTTTATTATTTCTTGAATGATATTCATTTCTTCTCAGTTATCACTTTATTCTATTTTTAGATAGTATCGAATCTTTTCTTCTCGTCAAAGTTGTCTCTTTCTCCTTCTACATTTCACATTAATCACATAAAGAGAACGCATTATTGCGTTCATTATAGGCGCGCATTATTGAATATTTATAAATATAATACGAGCGATCGAGTCAGATTTCGTTCGACAATATTTTACAACTTTTGCAAAATTTATTTTCTTGTCTTTTACTTTGCATGTTCTTCGTCTACTTTTTTTTCTATATAACTATAATGAGTGCATTAACATAATCTATAGAGTAGAGACAGTTTTTCAAACTGTGGTCAGGATGGATATATTATTCGTTTTTTAAATTTAATTTTTCTAAAAATCCGGTTAGTATGACTTTCGAAACGATGAAGAATGATCGGACATTCGAATTGGAAAGTTGTTAACGGAATTAGAAATTTTTTTATAATACATTCTTGATGAATAAAAAAACATTGAGTAAGGTATTATTGTATGAGCTTATTTATCTGCGCTTGCAGTCCCCCAATTACACAAACTTAATCACGCGGCTCGTTTTCGATCAATCCTTTCGAAATCTTACGCGGGAGTGAGGCTTTTTTTTCTTCTTTTTCCTTCACAATAGGGCAGTTAAACTGCACCATGAAAGATTTTCTTTAACTTAGTTATTCGATGAAATGATGAGAGAGGCTCCGAATATCATTTCTCGCGTCTATATCATTTCTTGCGTGGGTTTCTACTACTGACCTCTGAATCGGTTCTCTCTTATTATAGATAACTGAGAAATATTAGGGCGAAGCAATGCTCGATATTCGACACCCTTTTCTTCTCTTTTATGAATTCATTTATTTAGTATAATATCGGTAATGGAAATTTACAATGAATAACAAGATTATAAGTCTTAAATATCTTAACTGCTAATTGAAAGAACTGTGCTTAGCAACTGACTGCAACGAAGTGATTTTAACGACTGACTGCAACGAACTGATGATAACGGCTACCTGATTCTCATACGTTTCATATCAGAATTGATTTAAAATGATGACGCAATTATTGAATTCTGTTATTAAATATTATAATAGAATCGCTCATTAGATTAAAAATATTCTTTAAGTGCGGATACGCAAAACCTTGATGATAATCGATCCATAAGGCATGTGACAAATGTATAAATTAAAAGATATTTTGAGTGTTATGGTCAATTTCCAGGAATGTGTGTTTCAACAAATGAAAATACTTAATTTGATGCTATGTGTGTGAGTGCGAAGGAATGAGAGAATTAGGATGGTATGAAATAAGAGAATATGGAATGAAGGACATTTCATATGATTGGTATATTAATATAATGATAATAAAATGTGGAATCATTGGACAATTGCCGCAAATCATATCGAATTGTTTTTCTTTTCGGTCATTCCCATTATAGCTTCATAGCTGTCACATGTGTTAATTTAATTTTTATCTAATAACGAATGCTTGATGTTCTTTGCTTTTCTTTCCTGCGATGAAGGGGCTACTGTGATTGTACATGTGGAATTTTTATGGTAAATAAAACAATACATATCGACTAAATTAAAAAGACATAATTCTTAAATTCGACATGTTATATATAGCAATCATATATGTAGATTGTAACATATCAAGATAATCACTTCTTTGGAATATCTTCAGTAAAAAGAAAATTATTATATATCCATAATTCTTTCAACGAGATCGGTCGTCAAACAAAAAAACAGTCGCATGCTAAGATGTTGATAAATTACTTTATTATTAATTCGGGAACCATAATTGCTGTAATTAGAAGTGAAATTACATAAATCTATGTTAAAGTATGCTTCGACATAGGCCCAGAGTGTTAGGCTATCTGAAATATGTGAATTCACACTTGATTCGATCGCTTCCGCGTCGCATTCGTTTTTCAAAATCTCTCGGTTCGTCTGCTAGAACGGACGATATATAATAATCTTATTTTTCATCAAAAGTATTTTGTCGGCATTAATATTGATGTATATCGATGTATACCATTACATTATATAACATGTAAATGGGATTAGTTAAACGAGATACATTAGTTTTCTTGTTTGTAAACTCTGATTTTTGAAAGAGAGAGAACCAGAAAGAATGCAAACATTTATAATGACATAATCTCAAGGCAAATTTCCTAGTGTAAACACTAGGCTCGTAATCAGAGGCTTTGAGAAAGGAGACAACTAGACATCCAAGATTGATTATTATTTACTTAATTGTCATAATGATAATATGCTGATCTTATATATGTCTCATTTTCGTTGCTTTCTTACATTTATTTCATGTCATTGTCTATTTTTCTCTCTCTTTCTCTAACAATCTTCGACGGAGCGATAAAAATCATATGGTGTCGTAGTTATTTCAGAAAAAAATTATTAACTGTTGTGGATTATCGCTAAAGATCTTTATAATTGACCGTTATGAAATAAGGAATAAATACAGAACGAGATTTATTTTATAGAAGGATTCTGTTGCATCGGTCCCAATGAACAAGAAATTATCTCGTTGAACGTATCCTAATAAAATATTGGTCCTTTATAGAGATAATATAATACTAAGATATCACCAATCTCATCGTACTTGGTAAAATAAAATTTTAATACTTCATTACGAAATGAATAATTGAATTCCTCTTTCAATCACAGTTTGTTTACCTCGTCAGACATTGATTAATCCAATATTCCTAATCCGATTAGAAGAAATTTAGTACATTGCCTCACAACATGCCTTTCATAAGGTAAAGGTTAATTAAAAGAACATTACAGAGTAGAAAGTCTATGACGATGTATTTTTGTTATATTACTAGAAAAACAATAGTTTACACATACTTTAAATATAACGATTTTCAAGGTGTAGAATAATACATAAACATTATATAAAGTTAGATGAAATGACAAGTAGACGGTTTTTATTTTTTACAGATAATAATATGATTCTACTATAGATTGTATGCTATTACTCACAGAATTCGTTATGTGTAAATATATTAATTATGTATTATACATATATATATATATATATATATATATATATATATATATATATTCATGCATGTATATTCTATGTTTTAATTAATTTCTTCTTTCAAATTTTAATCTTATTGGTTTCGTCGGTTTTAATGTGATGCTCAACTTTACATCTATGTTTGCAATTTCTTTTGGCTTTTTCAATTGGCTTGTCTATTGTAATTCTAAATCTTTTTATCAGTGTAGTGATGACTGTTGACATCTCTAGCATAGCGAAATGTTGACCTAAAAAAATAAAATCAATTGTAAATGCAATTTATTTTGGAATTTTGTGGAATATACTTTCAAATAATTTATAGGAGTATGCAATTACCTATGCAATTTCTTCGACCGTAACTAAATGGAAAGTAATACATAGAACAATTCCTTTCCGGTAGAAATCTATCGGGATCAAATACTAATGGCCGTGGGCAATATTTCGCGCTTCTATGTAATTTATAGATGAAAAATTACGTTATCCAGGTAAGCCAAGCACGACTGAAATTTCTTTCCTCTAGCAGTGTTATAAAAAATTATGTTCGGATGTAACCATAATTTAAAGACCCTTTGCGTTGCTATATCCATCCCACTCAAAGTGCGCACAAAAAATGTTAGAATTATACATAATGTATTACAAAAATAAATGTATCATTATTATTACCATTTTATTGATTCAGCTATTTTACAATCCGAATTTGTCAGCGAATTTAGTTGTGTATCCAGCATGACATCTTCCAATATAATGTTTAGCAAAATTATAGAAAATTCAAATAAATGTACATAAATTTTATAAACATTAAAAATTTCTAAATTAAAATACTATATATTATATCCAAAGTACAGCGAAAGACATAATCAAAAATGTCTAATTCTCCTCCAACAAAAGTTTCTAATTTTTCCATTAATGCGATAGAATGATTAACAAATACATCCACATGTGACTTTATATTTTTCATAAGGAACATTTTATTTAAAACTTTTCGATGTGAATCCCATACTGATGCTAAAATCAAATCAAAAAGAAAGCAATTAGTGCTTAATTTACATAATTTACATGTTACTTTAATTTGTTCGTCTATACGTACATGTTTATAATAAAAGAGTAAAAGAGAAAAGATCTTTTGCATATTCATATAATACTTCATTTGTATGTGTAAGTAAAGGAGCAAAAATTTTTTACTATATAATTTCATAAGATTAAATAGTACAAAAAAGAATATATATGATAATACATACTTAATATAATTATTTTTGTACTAGTAAATAATGTGGAAGATATATACTTCACCTGGAGCAGTTAACAATCCATTCCCCACAATAGGATTCAATTTTTCATATTCCTCGCTCTTATCAGTAATATTTGGACTATTGAGTACATTCTTCCGAAAAAAAATAAAAATACAAAATGAAAAGATTATGAAATAATTAAGAATTATTAAAATAACACTAACAGAAATTACCTTGACATATTCGGGATTCTCAATTACTAACAATAATTTCGTGCCGATCCATACACGCCACAATAATTGATAATACTTTCCAAGGTTTAGTATTTGTTTGAATAGAGCTAGAATAGAGATAATAAATAAATATCGGGTAAAATACCTTAATATAAAAAATATAAGATGCAAGTTTACCAGCTGTATCACCAATAAATAAATGAACATTTCCAATAATTGGATATACTTTTGATCCAGAAATTCCTTTAATCTTATTAAACATATGTAATTTATTTAAAAAGTATTCTGCTATTCCATAGAGTAATCCAAATAAAATTGTTACGATAATAATTAATATTACAGTGAATTCCATGTTGAACTGATTCAAATAGAATGTATGAAAATAATTTAATAAAATAAAAATAATCTAGCGATTATGATTATAAATTTTGTGATTTACAGACACTCTGTTTCCACAGTACAACTTCTACGATTCTCCTTCCGCAACAGTGAACGTGAAGAAAGAAGAGGGAAATAGTGGTTATTTAAATATTGTAGTCTATGGACTATGTACATTCAATTGGAATTTGCTTACGCAAACGTTTCTTTTGCACGATCGCTCGATAATGATTATTTTATAACACTACTCATAAAAAATATAAATGCGACAACAGTACTGATGCATAAAATCTTATTCATTTGGTTCTTTATTGGATTGATAAATAATTTGTGTAATTCAATTTTCATTCGTTTCTTATTATTGATTTTTTGTTCATATTATATTAATAATCATTTGATTTATCATTATCTCTCATATTTCAGTCATCTTCAATTTCTATGTATCTTTTCCAATATTTTCATTCATATTTCATTCGCTTTTCTACGCTTTTAACAGGATAAATAAACATAGGCAATTTACTTTAATAATAGGCAGTTTATTATAATTATAGCCAATTAAAGTCGCCTTGATATTATTCAATAAATAAAATGCAACGTCATTTTATTTCATTTAATCGAATCATGGCATATGGCTGTGGGATTGATAAGCGTGTTGAAGCATATCATATTAATTAAATATTCATCTACTGATTTCAGATCACATTATTATATATATATATATATATATATATATATATATATGTATGTATATATATAATAATAATGTATATATACATAATATTATATATATATGTATATATATATATATTATGTATATATGTGTATATATATAATATTATATATATATGTATATATATATATATTATTCTTAGCAGGAATTTGTTAATATTATTCATGAATAACAATTAAAGTATTTGATTTATATGGAGTTGTGTAAATTCTTACAGGAATAATTTATTTATTCACGAGATTCTTTCTAAACGATCCCTCTAAAGAGCCTTTAGAAAATAAAGAATAAATAGAAGATGAGATTTTTTAAATGCTGAAATGACCATTTTGTTAAATTAATCTTTTCTTTAGGCATTTAATGAAAGACATGTTATAAAAATTAAATAGAAACTATACAAGTAATGCCTTTTCATCGTATTTAACAATATTAAGAAGAATAAAATTCACTCGTTAATTATACATTATATACATGTTCTACTCTCTGTTATCATCCCTAATGTTCTATATAGATAATCATTTTTTTCGCTCTTTAACTCTCGCATTGTCACTTTTTGCTATCCACGTATACGTTTTTTAGAGCATGGGTCAACGATCTACGTCCGGCGTAAGGTGCTCGTCTAATCTCACCACGTGAACTGACATTCAATCTTGTGCCTACATTTATTCCTTATGTTTGGTTTTATATAATATTCAAATTGTAATCCATAAATTCTAGAAAATGAATTTACTATTGATTTTACATTCTTAGATAAAAAATTCGCAATGCTAGAAATGAAGGTAATAATTGCTATTTTGTTAAAATGACTTATCATTAAAATACGGCCAGTAGCAATATAAGAAATTTTGATGAAAATGATCGTTACGTTAAAGCCGGCGAGACGTCTAATGTTTAATTTATATAAATATAATATATAGATAATTAATATATAAACATAACGAATCCTGTGGATAACTGTAGATAATCTGTACCAGATATAAATTATTAACCGTATAAAATAAGAATTGTAAAAAAACTACAAAAGTATCTCATTATTTCATACGATTTTATATAATAAATGGTTAATGGATAAAGACTTTCTCTAATTCGAACAACATTGAGTAAGTTAACTAATTTGAACAATATTGCGTAAGTTAATATTATGTTTCTAAAGTGGTCGGTGAAATTTTCCTGAATGATAATTACTTTAGAATTTATCGACAATCAGTTTGAAAGTATTACTAACTAATATTGAAATCGTTCTATAATTTGATATTATCTCGTTAATCGCTGGTAAACTTTAGAACAACTTCTACCAACAACTAAAATATAGCATTTACCCTTAATAAAATAATTATTCTACTTTCCCGTTATATTTACAGATATTTATTCTCATTTTTGGGCGAAATCAATCATAATTATATATTTATTCATGTTTTTTCATCAAGCAATTAAATGTTTACGTGACACTTCGTAGTTAACAATATTTTTATGATGTAAAAAAATTTTCTCGCTATATCAATATTTTCTGAGATAAGTTGCCATTTCCGTATTCTCTCCACTTACAGCGTCCATACGTAAGTACATTAAATGATACGTTACTCGATGAATTTGCATTCGTCTAAGCTATATCACAAAAATATTCGTATTATTACAGTAACGGTCCTCCTATTGTAAGATCTATTCATTTTTTATTGTCTTATAAGTCGTATCAATAAAATTGCTAGAAAAAACCTAATTAAGTAAAGAAATAAATATTCTGGCCACAGTTCCAGAAATTGACCACTTGAGATCGTTGTGGATCATATAAAAAAAAAAGTAGATGAATAAAGTTTAGAAGAAAAATCGCTATTATAATAAATTTGCAAGAGTTCCGTTTTTGTTAAAAGGAATCTGACTCGGTCTGTCGTATTAACCCTTTCGCTACGGGCGGAGTCTCCGCCGCGGTACTTCCGCTGAACGGACCATCGCGACATCACTGTACGCTACGCGACGCCGTAGATGCCATCAGTAGCATCTTATAGAGGGCCACTATAATGGGCCCGTAGTATCTCAGTAGCATCTTATGGAAGGCCACTATAGTGGCTCGTAGTAGCGAAAAGGTTAAGAAATGTTGCGTGCCTGCATGCGTATGCGCGTATCAATACTGTCTGTATCAATAAAAGTTAGATGGTGTGTAAAGAATGAGAGATTCTATGCATTAATATATAGTTTGTTTAAGAACCTATGAGTATTATTTCACTAATGGATTCGATATATCTTTATTTCCGAAATATTTTTATTCTACCATATCAATGATTATCTTAACTTGCAGTCACTTAAAAGCAGATAGTTTACAACACATTAGTAGATAATATTAAAATATTCCGGTAACATATTATAGAAGATTGCTAACAAATTTGCACAATACTAGGCAGTCTTGAATTAATCAAGAACGTTCAAGTATCTCTGATATGCAGACGGCTATCAATTTAGAACCGGGATTAATAATATACTTCTGTCTCAGCATATAAACTATGTAATAGTCTCCGATGTAGTTATGATAATGTCCGTAGTAATGATAATGGTTGTGTACGTATGTTCATACCGATTGAAATATTTATTAAAGTTAAAATTGAATATAATGAATTTTGTGCGAAGAAGATAATTTTCGGCAAAAATTAATATTTACAAATTGTACAAGAAAAATAACCATTCGCCAGGATCATTACAAATTTAATATAATTAATAATCAATTGATAAAATACTTGAATTTATTTTACCACTAAATTTTTATAAATTAGTATATTTATAGATTAAATAATGCAGTTTTATAGCTTTCCCTTTCTGTACTCTTTTTAATATGTATTAACCTTTTCGTTACGCCAATAGAGAGCACTACTATTACATAGCATAGTCAGAACATGTACTTATCATCTATTGAACTGCTGACAAAACGTAACATTTGATACTCTATGTATGCAAATTATTTACTTCTTATTATTTTGGTCAATTTCTAATTTTATATAATATTTCTATTGTTTTCATCCATATTGAACGGTCCTTTCTATGCTTCTTACATGATAAATATACGCAATTAACGTTATCAGTTCTTGTTGAATGTTTTTATAACCAGTAGCTATACCGTTTTATTCTTTTGATCAAACTCGCATTAATTGGTATTCTATGTAAAATGAGAATTACTAACCATTCATATTATTAGAATGATGCAACCTTGCGTTTTCTTCAATATCGTTAGGAAAATTTAATAATAATCACCTATATAGATCTGCATAATTAATAATTACCTCTATAATAATAATGTCGTATTCCTTTAACATTAGAATATCTGCACTAAGAAATATTTTGTTGTTTTTGGATAAATTTCACAAAATTATCAAACGAATGCCATTCAATATCCTCGGACTGTGAATCTTTAAGGAAAATTTTTAATTAAAAAAATTAATCGTATCTATTCGATTACAAGTTTATCACGAAAATGGTTTATCGGAAAACTACAAAATTTATATCGTAGTATTCGGATAATTGTTTAATCATTGACCAACACTAAGGTATCTGATGTTTTGACAGAGTTATTAGTACTTGTAACTTAAATTTTTAAAAAATCTTGACCAAAATACTCGTTTATAATGTCCTGAGAAAACTCTAATAGTGCAATAATAAAATTCAAAAGGTTACTTGTGATTGATTTAATGATCCTCTTTACAAGAACCTCAATTTCGGGCCAGAAAGTGTTGAACAAAAAATTAAAAAAACTGTAGAAAAAATATTATCTGATATCGTAGATGATGAAATTCGCTATAATATAGGAAACATAAAGAACGCTATTTTAAATATTGTATTTAAAAAAATTAATACATATCAAAGAAAATTCATATATTCATAATATTCATATATTAATATATTCATATATTCATATATTTATATATTCATATATTCATAATATTCAAATATGCATATATTCATATATTCATAATTCATCGAATTGAATTTGATTGCGAATATATTTACGTGGATGCTCATCAATATTTATTTCGATAAAATATTTTTAATAACAGAAATAGATCAAATACAAGGTTACGAATACAAGAATAAAAATAAAATGATAAAAATGGAAAGATATCGATTACCTTATGTAACATACATACATACATATACAGTGTTCAAACAAAAGACATTCATCAGTTTTATTACGAAATCTAAACTTAAATAAATCTAATGTCTTAAATAAATTCACCTACTTTGGGTTAATTCCCTAAGCAGTTGACAACCTCAAACATCTTAAATGGCAAAAAGGGTCGAATCACATATATGGAAGGTATTTTAACTGTCTTACAATGGTTTTTTCATTTTAAGTCAATAGTTTCCGAAGAAACGCGTTTTAAAATATTTGGTTGAAAACAACTTTTATTTTATTAAATGTTTAAAATGTTCAAATCGCTTTCCTGCATGCAGTAATAAAGTTTTTGTTTAGTGTTATGTCCAACATTTCACAGTGCAACAGGTGTAATTTGACAGTATTCTTCGACTTCGAAAATTGATTAGATAACATATATTCTTAATTTTAAATATTCGCATAGAAAAAAATTAAAGAGTGTAAACGTTTGGAAAAATAATGTTTTAAAAATTGTCACATTGGAGTAGATTTATCAAATGATGAAAAAACATTTCTTCCAGTATTCAACCTTATGCATTTAAATTCGACAAGGTCATACTTTGGTCAATCTTTTTCAATTTGATCAATTGAATTCCGGATCACTATATAACATTGGTTTTTTCTGTAAATGATTATATTTGAGAATTTTTTTGATGAAGTTCGAAATCTGATTTTTCTCCCTGACCGTCTATCTCACATCTCTCGTAATTATGTGCACGAGTATAGTAATTTGTCTGATTACTAATCCACTAACTGTAATCCTGATTACTGACTACGGTGTCTTTCAAGAAGAGGAAGAATACGATTATAATTGTATTGTAAACAAAAAAGATTAATTTGATATAAATACTGAAAGCTCATAAATTCAATATAAAGATAAGACAGCCAAAAGAATGAAGATTTCTTAATAATTGTCGAATTCGTTGATGCAAATTTTCTCTAAGTTTAATGCATTAATCAGACCTTACAACGTTGACTTACGTGATCAGAGACTAGTAATCGACCTTCTTGTTAATAAAATTTTGTTATTATGTTAATAAAATTTTGTTACCTTGTTAATATGATAAACAACCAGCTAATGAGAAAATTTACACCTTAACATTACAATAAATCAATTCATTTTTTCCTTGCAATTGTTTAACTTATTACCATACAAAAATCTAGAAGAAGGTGATGTCTAGGCTTCCTACTATATTTATTATCTATATCAATCCGTTGAATCTTCGATCATCCTTTTGTATGTGGATTCTTTGTTATTTTGAATTACAAACTTGATGAAGTAAACACCAAAAACCTTAACAGTATTAAAATCAGTTTTGGTCCAGAAAGAGCCATCATACATTGAAATAACTTCATCGGCACAACTTGAAAACTGTAACTGATGGATCTCTAATATCATTATCTTGTTTTACAGATACCCACATATGCACTGCTCAACGATACATATACTTGCCAGAGCATTTACCGCTAAAAGTGAATCATTCAATAGACAAAAGTCTATTTGAAGATAAACTTTCTTACCACTAGTTTTCACAAAACCTTCAGCTGCAATTCTCTTTAAGCATCATTTGTAATAAACTGCTTTTCTCTTTCTCTACAATTGTTATTAGGCTAGCAGATTCGATAGATATATTTGCTCTGTTTTCATCTCTACATATTTACTGCAGCCATATTTATCAGTATGATATATGTTCTTCAGATGATTCTGATGATCTTTTGAATAGTTCTCTTGCTTTTCTCAATCATTGCATGTATAATGAATTTTCCAATATGATGTATGGACGAGAAACCATCGACTAATTGGCGGATACGTATCATCGAACGATATTTCTGAATCCTTAGATATTTTTCTTCCCTATTCTCATACGAATAACAATTTCTTATTCAATGAAAATCCGGTAGTCATAGAATTTTGGATGGTATTGAGACACGATCTTATGGGAACGACAATCTTTGTGAGGATCTAGTTATTACCAGGAAGAGTATAAATCAGAATCGAAATGAAAAAAGACTCTCGTGGCACATAACATTCAAATGCCAGTCCAATCTACTGCTAGTCCAATCTACTGCCAGTCCAATCTACTGTACAATGAAGTATTCCTTTATTATGTTCATTTGCTTCCTAAAAGATAAAAGAACTTTTATCTTTTAATGAAATTAAATTTAAAGACAAATATTTTACAATATTAGCTAGTTTAAATAACTTCTTAACCTATTTTATTACTTATTAAACAAATTGAGAGAAACAAGATAATATTTCTTACTTTTTCAGTCAATGTTCCATCTCTGAAAACTAATTCGAACATAGTTCTATCAATAAAAGTGCAGCAGGCTACTTTCACTCTTTTCCAAAATGTGAGCAGTCTTGAAAACTTAAATAGAAAACAAATCCATCTGTAAAAGTAAATGAGATGAGCAGCAGCATAGTAATACATTTTTGGATCGACTTCTTTTTGTATACTTAATTGATCTAACAGATTTTTGATCATCGACGGTTGGACAATTCTGAAACATTGGACATAGTCATACATTAGCATAATGTATGACATAGTCATACATTAGCATAATTTGAAAATAAAGAAATATATTTTCTTTAGAAATATTTTCCTTAGCATTGTTCTCACTTGACCTTTTCTTGTATGGAATAAAAGAAAAAATTTGAAATTTATAAAAATAATACCACAGGATTATTTTTTTGATAGAACATTTATTAAATTTTATGTTGCTTGCTAATAAACTATCTATGAACGCTAATATATTACCAATTAATATGATACTCCTTTCAAATCATTTCATCTCAATTCCCTGTACGATTGTAATTCAGATCCATTATCTTTCTTTCTAGAATTATTCTCATGTTCCAAGATTTTAACAATGCTGTCTTCTGGACATTATTCTGATACTCTGTCAATGATGAATATAATTCATTCTCTTGTAATGCTCCTTCATAACAAGAAATCATCATACTAAATGTCCACCTGAAAGACAATTTGTGCTTTAGAAATAATACTTAATAAAAATAACTATTAATAGCAAGTAGTACTATTAAACACAATCAATTAGAATCAATAACATGATAAAATCAGAAGCATAAAAAATAATGCTTCTTATACTTTAGCATTAACTTCTCCAAGTTATTATGCTTTACTGTCAAAATAATTTAAATCATTTAAGTTTTTGATACGTAAAAAGTTTTCGATTAAACTCATGTTTAGAGGTTAATTTTTAGTATTTATTAACGAATATCTTAATAAATTTTTCATGTGCTAATTTTGGTTTCTAAAAGAAAAACCTATTAGAAGGTTTAGCAAATGAATGACACAAATAAAACACAATATGACATATAAGAAGCATTTACTACATTAATTAAAGATTTTATTAGAAAACACATCATGAACATTTTTAAATATTAAAAAAATACTAAACTAAAAACTACACACCACCTTTCACTGGAAAGGTTTGTGATTTGAGCGACTGGTATGGACAAAATATAAACTACAAGTGTAAAACGATCCCCATCAACAGTACAAGATGATGACTGTTCCCATCATGCTGTTTATGATATCGATGTATATGCTTTTTTTATACCTCTTTCTCGCGCATTTTACAATCGGCTTCGAGTAGATTAACATAAATAGGATTAGTTAGCTGTGAGTTCATACTCAGTGGATTTTCATATAGATATATATTTTCGATGGTTACAAGTATCTTGGAGTGTTCTGTGCTAGATACGATGTCGATACACATTTGTTTCATGCCAAATAATAATAATAAAAATAATAAATATTATTGATGCGTATAATAACTAGTATATAAATTTGCGACAGAAAACAAAATTTTGTCTAATGTTCTGTCCAAAATATAATATTATTTTAATATTAATTAAAGTATAAGTTCTTTTCCACACTATATATAAGATAGAAATCCTTTCTTTTTTTGTTTTTTTTTTTTTACACAGGAAATTTCCATTCTGTACTATTTCAAATATTACTACTTCAACTATAATTATTACTACTACTGCTACTAATAATAATAATAATAACAATAATAATAATAATAATAATAATAATAATGATACTAAAAACATATTTTCATATTATATATATTATATATATTTTACATTATAATAGTAAAGATAATGATAAACACGTTATGCTTCTAAAATACTCGCCGATTCTCGAATTGGAAAATTACGAGCTTTACAGGATTTAACACTTTCGGGGAGAATAAATATATATTATAATTTTAATAAATATAAGTATGTTCTACTTTTTGTTCTTATTACTATATTATTATATTATATATTAGCATTATAGTAATAATAATAGTAATAGTATAAATATAAAGTCGATTATTCTTAATGAGGATACCATAAAAAATAGCACTGGTAGAGAAATCTCATAAATGATATAAAAATGAATTCGTGTTATGATCTTCATGAAAATAATATTAAATATATAAGTATATTTTAATTAATTATTATTTTTGAAAAATAATCGACAAATGTATATAATTTTGATCACTATGAAACTCACGTCAATTATCAGCGAAGGAAATAAATATAAGAAATTGAATAGCAACACTTTACTAAATTATTAAATAAGAAAGTAAAAGAATAAATTGTTATTTTGTATTTTGTGTTAATATAAATATATATAAATAATACAAATATATATATAATAAATAATATAGTATATTATTACTAAACTAATTAATATTAATTATTATTTCAGATCTTTATATTAGAAAATATTAACACAGAAAACATATAAATTAGTATTCAATGTAGTTTTTTATTATTAATAATTAAAATTTATTAATTTATATTTTTCTTTAATTTTTATTAATAATTTAGTAGTTAATTATAAAGAATAATTAAAGCTAGAATTTAAGAAAATTAATTTTATAATTTTGTAAAGGAAATATTTTAAGAAAATTCGGCTGTAGTTCTGAAAAGCACAGATGGGTTGATCGAATGAATGAAAAATACTAAAAGTATTTTGTCAAAATGAATATTGGTGTGTATTGACGTTGATCATTGAAGCATGTAACTTGTCAGTAGAGTTATTAAAAGGAAATACATTGGTTACTTTAAGTATTAAACTTTATGTGTTCAACATGAATATTCTAATTTTCGAAAGAGAGAAAGAGAAAAAATGCAACCATTCATAATTACATTATCTCAAGACAATTTTAATAATATGCATTATGCTCATAGCCAGGAGCCTTGAGAAGAAAAAAGCTAATATTATTATTAGTAATAAAATTATAACAATTTTGATATGCTAGTTGTATGAACGTTCCTCTCTTCCTGTTTCTCTTATATCATGTCTCTCCCTTTCTCTGTCTCTCCCTTTCTCTCTCTGTCTGTCTCTCTCTCTCTCTCTCTCTCTCTCTCTCTCTCTCTCTCTCTCTCTCTCTCTCTCTCTCCCTTACTATCATCATCTTTCTTTTCCTCAAATTCTTTCTCATTCTTTGACTGCAATGAAACATTTACATAAAAAATATATCTACATTAGCGAGTATCGATAAAACAGCAGTTTAACCTACCGTTCATTGATGAATGTACCTCTATTCAAAGATATAAATATTAACTTGAATTAAAATCTTCGTAATATATCTGTCAATTATGTCTTTCAACACACACACACACACATACGTATACTAAGAAAATATTCAAGGTACGATGCTTATAACTAAAGTACCGAGAAGGTAAACAACTCAATATTAATCATAAATTATTATATGCATAATTAAAACAATTTTGATATGTTATTCGTATATATCTCCTTTTTCCCTGTTAATTTTTTTCAAATCACTTTCTTTCTCTCTCTCTCTTTCTCTCTCTTCCTCTCTCTCGCCTACCTACCTCATCATCGTTCTCTTTCATTAATTATGTATGTATTATATGTACATATTTCTTTTTCGTTTAAATGCGTGATTGAGTCTGGGTTACGTTTGGGTTGCATCCATATATATATTATATATTTACACATAGAATATAATGTAAGTTATATACACAAGCATAAAATAATATCGTATTTTACTCACCAAAAACTTATCATAATAAGCTGGAGCACGAAAGATGGAAAATTGATAAGTACCATGTTGAATGAAGTTTTCTAATGAATCAAAGGGTAAGACATGAATATAAGAAGTAAAAAAGCTTACCACAGCAATTGAATAGGCGGCTCATAAGACGAGTAACAAAAAAAATATAGAGAAGTATGCTATTCTTAATGAAGATCTACTATAAAAATCTACATCAGAGGAATACTTTGTACAAATATAACTATTAAAAAAATCAAATAAAACATGAATCAAGAAACATTGAATCAAACCTACAAGTTCTTGTTGATAAAATATACCACCAATCTCCAAAAAATTATCGATCAATAAATATCCTATTTTACGATTGACTTCAGTTTTTAATTTGAAAAAATTCAGTAAGATAGACACAGCAGTTAATAGTTGAATTATAGAAATCCAAACAAAATGAGTGGAAGTCTATAAAATTAACCATTTTGTGATTAATGAATATTAACACAAAAAAAGAACCAATTCGATTGGAAGTTATCATACTAGAAAATAAGATGACCATTTAACCGTAAATGTTTCTAGTTTACGAATGAAAAAACAGCTTTTGGAGATAACAAGAGGAAGCGTAAAGTCAACGACATTCAATCTGTCATTGGTAATATAAAAAACCTGAAATAGAATGGTCAGCACGTCCAGTATGTAAATCTGCAATTGCTCCAGACCAAGTCTCTTTGTTGAATTCCATTTCTATATTCTTTTTTCGAGGCAATATCGTAATTAAAATTAAGAGTAACACAAAGTTCTTTTAATATTTTACCGACTATACCGTCTAATTCATCATTTTTCTTAAGAATATTCTATCCTGAAGATAAAAAGAAATAAAATGGAGAAAAATAAAAATAAATCTTTTTAAACAGAAAATAAAAAAAATATCTAGACGAAGATATTTTATGTTGATTATTACAGCTCTCATAATTAAATTCTGTAAATTATATCTTCTTTCGTAAAGAGAATTTGTAACCATTTTAGTGATTCCTTTCTCTGAGTTCCATATAGCTACGTCATTAATCTCGATTAGATTCGTATTGACCGAATACCATTCCCGTAAAATATTTTCGTATAACGGATTAATATTTCTGAGTCGAATTTTAAATGAAATATTATTACTTGGTGGATTGTGACTATAATCAAAATCATGTTCCATGTAAATGAATATCACTAGCTACATACCTGAAGACATGTCAAAGGTACTTGGTGCTAAAGAGAACGCATTAATCGCGTTGTTATTAGAGATCACTGCTATATTATACGGCCGTACAATTTGTTTTACGTAGTACAATGATTCGAGCAATTGTGAAAAATGAAAATTCGTGCTTGCAACGTCTTCACGAAAAAGAGCACGTTTCCATTTAAAAATCATCGTTTTCATTTCTATTTTTAAGAAAAAAAAAATAAATAAATATATTAGAAATAAAATGAAAAAAATGAAAAATATCTTTAATTTTAATCGATTCGGCATATAAAAAATGACAGATTTGGGCCTGTTTAATTTGCAAATATCTATGATAAAAGGGATCTATTGATCAATAATAAGTTCATACGATATTGCGATCTTCGAAAGAGAAAAAAGAACGAGTATCTTTAATCACGCAACGAATATTATTTATTTCAATATCGATAACACTTTTTCTCAAATAGAAATTCATATGAAAATATTTATACGTCACAGAAAGTAAAATGCACGATTCTAGATTTTTAAACTACTGAATGAATTATCGTCACTTCATTTATATCGAGTATCGTGCAGATCGGAATATGTATGTATGCACTGTGCATATTCGCGCGAAAAATATAATTTTATCTTCACTAGCATATTATCGATTAATAAACATTCTTTTCATTTTACGCTTTGGTTTTTTCGCTACTGACTGAAGTTATAAGAAAGTTTTACGAGAAAAATTTGCTTTTGCACCTGGCTCTGTTTCAACAACAAAATGCATTTATGCATTTTTTCTTGCGACCTTTTCAAGTTTGGAAGCTCAACAAAGTTTCTTTTAAGTGAGTAACTGTAATTTCTTTTGTATATTTATACAATAGTGTTCGTTTGCATTCAAAAATATATTTAATAAAAAGTTGCTATTGTGCATTGTTTATGATATAATCATTATCTTATCGAACTATACTATATTTCATATTCCATGGTATACAAATACATTATTTACAAATAAAGCAATCGTGTATTTTATATGTTAAAGACTAACGTCGTGTTCGATTTAACCGACTTTTACAGTATGTAGTTTGTATATTTATGTAATTTGGCGATTGTCTTTCAAATTGTGGTATGGAAAACCAACTAGTTAAATATATATGATGTCGATTATCTTATAAACAATGCATAGTGGCAATATTTTTTATAAAATAAATATTACTAAATATTATGATTATGATTTCAAATTACCATTACTATATAAATATGTAAATATCTATTTTAAAAAATTGAAAAAATTAACCTTCATAAATTGAAAAAGTCACGAATAAAAAAATGCACTTTGTAATTGATTCAGAGCAAATTTCTCTTACAAAACTTTTCTATAACTTCAACTAGTCACGAGATATTTATGAGCAGACATCTACGTACGGTCACTTTATATATCTGACTGTGTTATATGTCAATCTACATACATTTATATTATTGTAGATACGATTATAAAATATTAATAAATATTATTAAAATTTTACTTCTATTGAAATAATTTAATAGACATTCTAATCGATATAAACGAGTAAGAAGTTGATAAATTGATTTGCGACCATCACCTGCAAAAGCCTTCTTTGAAACAACATATACGGAAGTCATCTAGAAATTGATAAGGTTGTCCACATATACATTATATAACAGTAACACTAAAGGTTTCAATCTATCGCGTTACACGAGTTCGACTGTTATAATAAGAGTTCTAACAATAATAGTAACGTTCAAATAATTCATCATTTTGGAATTTTACTATTATTCTTTCTATCAGCCAATCAGAACGCGAAGTTATCAGATTGTCGTTAATTCATGAATTTAAAATATCGATGAGTATTGAAAATATATCATTAAATTACACCTGTTTAGAGAAAATGTGTAGAATTACAAGCGAACTATCCTGCCGTCTCAGGTTGTGATGTTCCTAAACATCTTTTATTAGTCGTAATCCTTATAATTTATGAAGATCAATATGACTTTTTTTTCAATAGATATCTATAATTTTTTTATATATTTATATAGTGGTAATTTGAAATCAAAATCACATGTAGTCAAAACTTGCCATTATGGATCGTCCACGAGATACGGCATTTTAGGTATTAAGGTAATTAATTTTTATACCAAAATTTGAATAACAATTGTCGGACTACATAATATTCAGAAGCTTTTGACACATCAAAATACATGACTGTTTGATTTGTAAATAATATATTTGTATACCATGGAATATAAATTAGTATTGTTCGATAAGATGACAATTATCTCGTAAATGACGCATAGAAGATAGAATACAAAAATGACAAAATGAACTATTATAAAAATGTACGAGAAAAACTATAGATACCTATATATAAAACTATGTTGACCTACATAAGTCGAAAAATATATTTAAATTCACTTTGTATATAAGTCAATGCCCTACAAATTTCTTCTAATAAACTTTCTTATAACAAAAATAAATTACGAGATATTTGCTCTGGACGGACACCCAGTATATTCAAATACCAAAGGAAAAAAATAATAAAAGAGGAAAATGAAACGAACATTTATTAATCGATAATATATTAGCAAAGATAAATTTATCACGAATACGAACAGTGCAAATATACATCGCGTGTACTTCGATCTGTACGACACTCGGAATAATCGAATAAGCGACAGTAATTTTTTCGTTATAGTTTAGAAATTCAGCCTCGTGCATTTTAGTTCTAGCGACGTGTAAATAATTTACTATGAATTTTTATAGAACGTAGTAGTCAATTCATTCAGAAATAAGCCTATTGGCATCGAAACATATAATCATATTGCAAATAATGTTCGTTGAGCGATTAAAGATACTTGTCCTTCTTCTTCTTCCTAAGATCGCAAGATCATATGAATTCTTTTCTATTGGCGAAGAACAGTTTCCTTTTATTATAGATATTTTCAAATTATCCCCATCGAAATCTGTAATTTTCTTACATCATGAATCTATAAAAGGTAAAGATATTTCTCATTTCCTTCTCTTCATTTCTATGATATTAATATTCTTCTTTCTTAGAAATGGAAATGACAACGATGATTTTCAAATGGAGACGTGTACTTTCTCGTGAAGGGATTGCGAGCACGAATTTGCATTTTTCACAATTGCACAAATCATCGTACTACGTAAAACAAATAGTACGACCGTATTACATAGCAGTGATCTTTAATAACAACGCGATTAATGCGTTCTCTTTAGCAACAACTACCTTTGATATGTCTTCAGCTATGTGGCTAGTAATATTCATTTATAAGAAACATGGTTTCGATTATTGTCACAATCCACCAGGTAATATATTTCATCTAAAATTCGACTCAGAAATGTTAGTCCGTTATGGTACGGAAAATATTTTACGGGAATGGTATTCGGTCGATACGAATCTAATCGAGATCAATGACGTAGCTATATGGAACTTAGAGAAAGGAATCACTAAAATGGTTACAAATTCTCTTTACGACAGAAGATATAATTTACAGGGTTTGATCATGAAAACTGTTATAGTTAAGGTAAAATATTTATTTCTAGATACGTTTTCTAGTTTCTACTTAAAAAAATTATTTTTCGTTTACTGTATGTCTATTCTTTTATAGGGTTCATCTTTCATTAACGTAAAAAAGAATGGCAAATTAGGTGTTATTTTCAGTGAGCTATTAAATCAAATTTGTATTACTCTCAACGTTAGTTTCGACATTGTCTCGGAAGTAGAAGAGTTCGGAAGATGGAATCCAAATAAAAAGACTTTTATTACAAATATTACAAAACTTCACGTGAATCGTAAATGTTTATAACTCGTAAATTATTAACCATAACGTCAATGTTCATTCTCAAAGAATTTTTATATTCTGATTATAATTCTCTAATGGAATAAAAACACGCATACACATATCTAATCTTTTATTTTATTTACTACAATTTTGAATTGAAGTAGAATTTTTTCATCATATTGTAAGTGTAGATGTAAATATACTCATATTTTAACTCTTTCGATCTGTTTCGATATTGCCTATTTGCATTAAAAATATGATTTAGCTATATATTTAATTGTGAGGAAATAATTTCATTGACCATATTTTATGTGTGAGTTGTGATTAAGCAATATAACTGATAAACGTTTCCTCAAGATCTTCAATTTTCTATTTAGAGCGAGTCAATTTGATCGTAACAGCGTATGAAATTTCACATGATATGAAAATCGCAATGTATATTATGTTATTAAATATAATATATTAATATATGTATCTATGTTATACAATAAAATTGTTTAACAAGTATTATATATATCTAGTAATATGTAATATACATTATTATTATTAGATGGAATTAAGAACTCGAAAGTTCATTGCCGCAAATACCAAATCCCGTTACCTTGCCTGAGCAAGATCCTACTGCACTAGAAGGATTTATGCGTGTTCGATAAAGTATTATAAAAAAAAAATTAAATGACATTTACATAAACAAAATGCAACGAAACTACGCGAAATAATTTCAGAAATGGATTCCTATTACGTAGAGAAGAAAATTATTAGTTCTACTAACTAGAGCCCGGAAATTTTTCAGTTATATAGCTTTCAAACATGTTAATAATATACTCTAATTATGTTAATTTACTGTAATTATCATTATCTGTTCATATTTCCTAACATGAAATATATAAGTACATTCGAAATATTTACCTTCTTGAAGACAAATCTCAATTAGTCGTCTCACTGCGTTCTGAACACGCTCCAAAATATGCCTACTTATGATTGTGATTATAATAATCCATTTACGGATGATGAAGTTCATTACAACAAGAAGATCGTCAAACACGTTGCATATTTGAATCTATTGTAACTATTTTAGCAAATGAAGTAAACATATTGGATTGCGCTAATTGTAAGATCAATCTTATAATTCAGAAATGAAGCATTTTCAAACCCATGTTGATAGAGTC